AGTTTGCAGAGCAAGTCTAACGTTGTTCTGCTTAGAAAGGGCTCTGCTATTTTGAAGGATGCAGAGTTGAATGCACCGTGCAGTGCCCAGCACTCACCTCTGTCGCAGTGCACCACCAGGGGTCTGGAATGATCCCCGGTCTCCAGCGGGTGATATTCCACTGTCACTTGCATGGCTTCACCAACATCGAGGGTTCCCGTGGCCGGACTGACAGTGAAAGGGCTGCAAGACCAAGAGAGAGATCAGGACTCGTGGGGGAGGTTTGGGGACGATACTGGCAGTCTAGTTCACTTCAGCTGACTTGTGCAAGCAAGGAGCAAAGCAATCCACAGGCAGCAGAAGAAAGAACACACAGCATCAGCAACTGCTACTGACTCTCTTCTGAGGAGATCCAGCCCTCAGAAGGTCCTGTAGGATAAAATGAACTCATCTTCCCCATACTCTGCAATGAGGCTCAAGGGTCCGACTGCCAGCAATCCCATCAGAGAATGGTTTGGGAGGAGCACAGAGAGGGTTAAGAGCTATTTGCATGCCCAACTTGACACTGAGTGCCTCAGGAAGGTCTCTTCTCCCGGTCTCCTATAAACCTCATTCAAGAGATGCAAATGGCGGGGCACTACCTGTCCTGTGAGATTACAGCTAGGAATCAACAGGGAGAATAAAGAAGCCCTTGAAGACCAAAGAATAATGAGTTTAATTTGCAGTGTGGTTGTGTGGGGTTGTTTTTCACCCTGTCAACATCCCGCTTTAGCCTAAGAAAGGGCACGTTTTATCAGCATTTCAGTGAAAGCTGCTGGAAGAAAAGGAGCAATCAAAACTGAGTGAGTGCAACTGCAACACCCAAAAGGAGGGTCCTGTTTACAGCCTGGAGGATTCAATCTCAGCTAAATGAAGTGCCATTAACAGCAGCACACCAAGGGAGCTGAACGGGAGGTTTCTGTGTATTTCACCAGCGATGCAGTCTGGGATTCTGGAGTGTCATCCACGCTGGTAACTCTTTGCTTGGCCCACCAGTGAAACAAGGGAAATAATTAGGCAAATATGTTGGTGTAGTTTGAATTTAACAGGAGCAATTAGGGTTTGTCACCAGGTAAACAGCTCTTGCCTGACAGACACAAAAATCAGTGCGTCAGTGCTTCTGGATAGCTCAGGTGAAAGGTGCTTCTGCCCGGTGACTGCTGGGCCTTGTGCTCTTTGTACAGCCCCACGGAGAAAACAAGATTTTAGTGCTTTGCTGATGGTTAATTTGTCACCTTAGCAACATTTCCGGGGGAATCTGATGATGATTAGAGAATGCAACACACACACACAAAATAAGAGAACAACTGGAGCCGTGTGCAAGCTGAACTTTGTTGCTGTCAGTGGTGACAGCTGATGGAATTGCTGCCGTTTCTGCTCCTTAAGGAGCTATTGCTGCAATTAGGAGACTGACCCGGGCCCGTTACCACCAGTGAGAACATCACTAGTGGCTAACGGAGAAGCCTTGGGCCAGCAATGTTTTTGTGCAGGGTCTGAGACTTCGGAGAGAGAAGAGGAAAGACAAGGCCCCACCAGCCCCAGAGCTGGATTGCTCTCTGTGCTCCTGCATCTGCCCCGATGGGGACACCAGGACGGTTGCAGGCTCTGCTGGGGCTCGGGGGTTCACTGCCTGGGGTGGGAGAAGCACAGAATTTTTTTCCCCGTTCTTTCGCCAGAAATTTTGCCAGAACAGAGAAACTATTAGTTGAGGGGAATCCCTGGCAACTCTTCAGCACTACCTTCCCTCCTGTTCCCTGCCTGCTCCTGCCCCATGTTCATAAACTCCTGCCCTCAGATGGCTGGATGGGGAATAACACTCCTGGCGCTGACTTCAGGGGGTGCCTGAGAAAGAAGGTGTCTTCCTATTTTCGAATTATGAGAAGAGGATCCAGACAAGTTCAGGACTAAGAACTCGAGAGCAAATCAGCCCCTGCATCTGCTACGTTTTCACATATTCCCCAAATTGCTCCTGTTTCTTATACACCTGTGCATAAGCCTGCGGGCAGATGGTAGATCAACGGGCATGAGAGGATGTTGAAGAAAGTTCCCAAGGAAGAATGAATGATAGTTGACAAAAATTTAGCACAGAACGAAAAAATTTAAAAGAAAGTGGAAACATGAGGAATGAATGTCTGAGAGATAACCGAGAGCCTATCTATTGGTTGTTAACCCCTTATTGTAATTGGTTGTTTATAAGACCTCCTGAACTCCCAGTGGTCACTTTGTAATTCCCCCAAGAGCTATTTAAGTCACTACCCATATCAATAAACTCTCTCTGCCTCTCTCCCTGCTGCTGCTGTCCTGTGGTCCCTGCAGGGGCCATGGAGACACCACGTGGTGGGGGGGAGGGGGAGGGCACGCTCCCCTCCAGAACTAGAGGTAAAAAGGAAAAGCCTCTAGCTTGGAGTTCCCCTCCCTATCAACCTTCAACCATTGCAGTTCTTCAGGAAACAGAAGAGACGACTGATGCCCTCAGCTGACGAGGGAACTCAGATCAGCTTTGACTAACAGGAACAGCACAGGCTGTTCACAGCACAGCTCACATTGGGCATCTTATGAGGGGCCCCCTGATATGCCACACGCTTGTGGCCTCCTGGAGAACGGGTTTATTTGGTTGACAGTGGTAGGCAGCCATTTCAGAAGGTGGTGGTGCCCAGGAGGGTGCTGACCAACTACTAACGTGTTCCAGCAGTCCCCAGGAGAGCTGGGAGAGACAAAGCTTGAGGGTTGCATCCTGCTTAGAACACAAGATGCAACAGCAGACCCCACACTCCCTGCCCATTTCCAACTGTGGCTGCAGTGCAGCAGCTCGGATGCTCTGGTTCCTTTGGGATGTTCTTTCCCACTCTGCCGTCACCCAAAGGTGTTTTGCACTAAGACAGATGAGTTGCTTTACCTCTCAGTGCTGAGGCTGTAATGGGCTTCCAGGTTACCGATGTTGCGAACCAGCAGAGTCTTCTGGGTGCTGTAGTTCACTGGGCACTCTGAGAAGTCCAGCTGGTCAGGGAAGTCCAAGACTGGGTGGGCACCAATGGCCCGGATTGGCACAGTGAGCGTTTCCCTTTCGGTGGTGCAGAGAAGCTGGTGGGAATGATCCTGCAGGAAAAGATCCTGGCACAGCAGAGGGTGTTGAGTGTCATCCCCATGGCAGAAGAAAAAGTGCTGTTTTCTGTGAGCCTTTGTGGGCATGAATTTATCTCCTCCACCCCAAAAATGACCACTAATTCATACTAATAAAGGTTGGAGAATAGAGCATGTGAAAAAGCATCATTTTTGCTGCATTTCAGTAGGAAAGAAGAAAGCTCTCTGGATCTTTTTGTTCCTCTATATTTTCCATAATTAAACCTCTTCCACTGAGCCTAGAGATGGCTCAACATCAACACCCCTCCCTGTCATTTCCCTACTCCTCCCCTGTCATTTCCCTACTCTTCCCTCCAGAACATTTGAGAATAGGCATGGAGGGAAAGCAAAGCCCTCTAGGCCCAGCTGCAGGGACTGGCAGCACCACGCCGTGCCGAGGTGTTGAACCAGCTGCAGGTTGCCTGCCCCCAGCCCAGAGCCAACCCCACAGCACGGGGTGGGCTGTAACCAGTGTGCAACAAATGCCCTGGCTTTAGAGACAATATTCCTCCAAACTCACCTTGCTTCCCTCAGGGGTGAAAAGGATGTTTATTGTACAAAATGATCCTGGTGGCACCTGATGACACACACCATCAGGGCTGACCAACTTGAAATAAGGTGAGCTGTCCATAGTGACCTTCACCAGCTGAGTAACCTGCAGGAAAGACACAAAACGGTGATTTTGCCACTTGTGGAAACAGGAGGAGACCTGGTGACAGCTTTCCTTGACCACTTTTCCAAAGACTTTTAGTCTGGAGGTACAAGCACAGGATCCACAAGGGTGAACTTGAATCCCTTCTGCCTGGGCAAAGCAGCTCGGTCAGAGGCAGCAGGGGAATGCCTGATGGGAAGGAAGGTCAGGCACCAGCAGTATGCAGATAGAACACCTGAACCAAGTCATTCTCATTTGCAACAAGCCCAGAGAATCTGTTTGTTTCTGCCTGCACACAGCCATGCAGCCCTGTTCCAGAGGGAGAGTAGGCTACCTGAAGGCAAACTGGCACATTATCCTGGGGGAAGGAAGAATTTCACTTCTAACAGGTTGAGTTGGAGTTGGGAAGTCCAGCTATGGGGAGAAAGTCCTATGGGCACACCAGCAAGAGGAGGCCAGACACTTGGCCTTGCTGGGAAACTGAAGAGCAAAAGGAGGAACACAGCAAGAAAAAGAGACAAGCCCCGACACAATGGGATGGCAACGAGAATTTAAATGGGCTGTAAATTAGAAAGGAAGAAGCACAAGACACTGCCAGGAAAGGCTGGTGCAGAAGATGAGGGCAATCAGCTTGCCAGAGTGATGGAAAGCCAGACGGCCCTGCAGGCTGTGCCTATCAACTCTGGGCTTCAAAGCATTTTCTGCCTGGAGAAACACGACCAGCACCGACACTGTGGTTTCATTATTAAAAGCCAATCTCAGCTCTCCAGGGGCTCTTCCTGCCTGGTGATTGTGGCCAAGCAGCTGCCAGTGCAGGCAAGCCAGACTGTTGGGCATTCCTGCAGCCACCCTGCTGCGAGTTTCTGCCCTCAGGGGAACATAGGCACAGGGACAGCAAACAGGCATTTTCTAGCACATGAGTATCAACCCCTGAGCACCAAACACAGGTCTAAACCTCAACACGTCTAAACCAGGTGATTTGGACTCCTCCTGTCCATTTCCAACAGCTTGCTCTTGGCACAAGAGTCATTTGAGAAACTGTTTCCCTGACTGAAATCCAAAAGGTCTCAGTTTTCCTCTTGACAGTGCAACACAATTGCTGACATTTTCCAACTTCTTCCTTCTCATCTTTCTTAGGGAACTGGAAAACAATCATACTTTGTTCAAGTGAAGGTGGAAACCCTCAAAAGCACATTGCTCTGGACATGCTGTGGTTCTGCAAAGGGAAAGCAGAGCACCATGTTGCCTTTGGAAAAGCAGAGCAGAGCTGAATTAAGCTTAGCAGGACCCTGAAGTGGCACCTAAAGGCCTCCTGCTGCTTCTGCTAAATGAGTCCAATTCCAGGGCTGTCTTCAAACACATGTCCTGCAGTGCCAGTGCCACTAATCGTAACTAGTCATCATCACCACTAATCATGATTCCAGCATAAAGTGGAGAAGACTCAACCCCTGAGCTTTGACTGAGATGCACAGAGGCAGCTAAACAGGCTGAGAGAGGCAGAGATTCCCACCAGAAACCACGATTAACCAAGGAGCCACAGGATGTGGTGATGGACGCTCGAGGGGAAGCATGAGAGCAGGAGAGAACTGCACAGCCTTCCCATCAATCTGGGGCTTTCAAGGGAAAGAAGCTGCTTTGGGTCAGATACCAGCAAGGCACAGCCAAAATCAGGGGAGAATTCTCAGCAAGGGAAAATTTCTACCGTCTTGCAAATCCAAGGTGGTGATTCTGGATGTGCTCCAGCTGATACTTGCTCTGCTCTACACCACGGGGATTACACCACTCCCCTCTTTTTCTAGCCCAGTGTTAAAGCTCCACATCCCAGCACTTACCTTGTCTCTGTTCCTCAGAAGCAGGGGCATTTCACAGACCTTGCCAAGGACATAGTTCCGAAACACCACCTCGGATGGGCGAGGCTCAAGCAAGGTATTGGCCCAGGCAAGTGACAAGAGCTGGAGAGGCAAGAGAGAGCAGGGAGAGGTTCAGCTGCTGGGAGGAAGGTTCGTGAATGGCACTCCTTTGTTGGTCCCCAGTGAAGTACAGGCTCTTGGTGACCAGGTCTGCCCAGCTGCCACTGGGGGAACGGTAGCTCACCCACCTCTGCTCTGAGCTGATCAAAAGCTGCTGCACCACACTGAGCAGGCTCAAGCTGAGCAGCTCTTTTGGCAGGTGTTTCTCCAGCTTTCCTTCTCCAAAATGCCAGGCAGCGCTTACCTCCAGCACAGCCCACAGCTAATGGGGTCCCAGAGCTCTGGGCACTGACTGAGCACTCAAGCAGTAAGTGAAGCCCAAGAATTTACATCAGACTCCATAGCAAACAATTTTTGGATGACCTTTACTCTGAAGCAGGGAGACTGAGGCCCGCACATCTCCAGACTCTAGAGCTTAGACACCAGTAAGAAGAGAACAGCACCAGAGGAGCTTAAGGGCAAAAGAAAGTACCACAGTAGATAGGAGTAGGACAAATAAGGTGAATGCCAGATGAGGACAAGGTTCAGCTCTTTTCTCAGCAGTACCGGGCAACTTGAGTAAGACTAGAGTTGTATTAAATGGGGAGTAATTACCTCAGGCCCTCAGCCTTCAAAGGCGAGTACTGCCACTGTGGAGGAATCCTATGACCCCCAGCATTTGTCAGTGCTGACACCAAAGCAAGAGGTGGCTCTTTGAGCGGGACAGTGGAAAATGGCAGGCTCGTGCCCCTGTGTCCTGCCCCGGCTTTCCCCCAGTATTGTGCCTTCGCAATGGTAGCAAAAGTGCAGCAAAGCCCACCAGCTTCAGCAGAAATTGTTGGTGTTGGCTCAGCACAGATCAAGACTCCAGCATCTCACGAGGAGAAAATGTTTTGCCTTTGCCCCAGCAGAAGGAATTCCACCACCAGCAGCAGTTTGGAATGACAACAGGACCTGGACACTGAGGTATTTCAAGCCTCGTCAGATGTCACCTCAAACAGCAAGGAGAAGGGCAGGAAAAGGCTACCTTGTTATTGGAGTTTGCACTCTTGCCTAGGCGCTGGACAGTCTTGGGCAGCTTTGTCTCCTGAGGGTTGTCCAACTTCCTGTACCTGCAACCCACCTCCCTGAAGTCAAAGACGGTCGGCTGAAAGGCAAAAAAAACAGCAAGAGCCTCAGAAATGCCATTGTTCAGAAAGGCTTTTCTTGTTTAAGTGGCTCTGATGAATCATTTGTGATCACAGCCACCAGCACAGTGCTGGAAGTCCTGGAAGTTACCTGCCGAAATATTTAACATCAGAAAATTAATGGTATAGGGCAGAACACACTTGCTCTAACCAGGCGGCTTGGCCTCAGTAACTTCTCCATGATTTGATGTGACATTGTGGGGATTTCTGCTCTTGGGGCATTTGTGTCCTCTTTACTTTCATTGGATTGGGCCAGTGACCTTAGCAGAGAGCGGCAAACTCCCCTAACTCCATTCTTGCCCAAGGCTCACAGCCCTCAGCGTGTCAAGATGGCACTGCTGGCTGAGTCTGAGGGAAGCAGAAAAGCAGCATTGTGCCAAGACCGAGGTGCAGAGGAATAGGTCCATAGTTCTCTCTTTTTAATTAGCACGGGTTTTCTCTCTGTCTGGCCTCACAGTCCCATCCATGGAAGAATACAGAGAGATGTCCTTGACAGAGCCTCAGCACTGGGTCATCTCCAGTCAGCAAAAGGGACATTTGTGGGTGGGTAGGAGGAGTTGCCCCAATTCCACTGCTGCCTGCAGGGCTGGATCTGTGCTCCACACAGGAGATGAGACGGAACAACTGGTTAGGAACCTGTTCCGGGGGGACCAGCCCCATCTCTCAAGGCTTCAGGCAGAGTTTGAGCTGCCCACCACACGCCCAGGTGCCTGGAGGGCAGGTGTGGTCAGAGCAGCACAGTGAGTGTGCCAACCTGACAGAAGGAATTCCTGCCCACACACAGGGGACAGAAAGAAGCACAAGCTCATGTTCAGCTTTACATTCGTTTAACTTGGCTCCAGTGGCACAGCCAGGCAAGACTCTGGACTGTCCCTGACCCAGCACGACACCTCCTGCCAACAGAAGCACGGCCCTAAGAGCTGGGAAGGGGGTCTGTAGCTTCATGGTGCTGCTGGACAGCAGGAAGGGCTTGGAGAAGAGGGACATGGGAGAAGTTTCCAGCCTTAACACAGCTCCTGGCCACAGCAGGTACTTACACGCTTAGGCTTCTCAGCCTCTTTGATTGGCCATAGAGGACGAGCTAGGACCTCTCTCTTCGGGAATCCAGAATCCATTGTGAAGGATGTTGTGGGTGGAGAAGTTGAACAGTGACTGTGTCTCAGCTCACCTGGAAGGAGCAACAATGTAATGCTGAAAATCCAGGATCCCGTTCCTGGCAGACCAAAGACACGGGGTGCTGAAAATCTTATATTATTTGAAAGTAGCTAAGTGCTTGTATGGCATAAGGAGCTAGAATTGTTCGGCTGGAAGTTGGACTTTGTTTGAACGATATGGCTATGTTGTGTAATTCCAAGATGGATCATAGTGAAACCTAGAGCTAACATTCTGAACATTAATAATAGAACAGACAAAGCTGGAGCTTAAATATTACTTAAAAATTAATAGCTAAGAGTGGACAGCCCATAGCTTGTGGTATAGGAACTGTAACAACCTCCTCTTCTCTAGGCCAGCCAAGCCCAACTCCCTCAGCCACTCCTCCCAGGACTTACCTCTAGACTCTGCATCTGCTTTGTTCCCCCTCCCTGGACCAAGTCCAGGGAGGGAGAATCTCTGCTGCAGTGAAGGTCTCAGCGCCACACACAATACTTTTTTGCCTGTTGAGAGACGCAAAGGGATTTGATGTGATTATTTCACTGAACCCAAGGGCAACTTCTGATAGGTACCTTTGTACCCATAAATATAGATGTTTCCATCTCTGTGCCTGCACGTGTGGGAATTGATCATGGTCTATACGTAGTAAGCAACAGAGTGAACCTTGCCATCAAACTCTGCTAGGTCCTGAGGAGACACCATTAAAGGGCCGTGAGCCATTAGAAATGCAACATATGGGGGAGCAGGACCACATCAGACTTTATCCTAGTGGCAGTTCTTCTCCAGCACCCTTATCCTACAAGAAGCTATAGGTAAACAATCACCAGCCTGACAACCACCTCTCTTTGTCGTACAAAGTCGGTGTGCACAAAAGGGCAAGAAGAGAAGACAACCCCAGAAAGTGCCCAGAAACATGAGAACACAACACTGTCTTCTGGACACCAGGGCATGCTGCAGCAAGAGCTGGGATTTAAAGCTGGAAATTACCATCTGGTGGGGAATGGGGCATTAATCTGGATTTCAGTGATTTATTACTTGGTCTTGAGAATCACTGGATTACTTGTGCCAGTTTTCTAGCTGCAGTTTCATTTCACTTCAAATGAAGCCTGTCCATCATGCCAACACTGCTGTTTACAGAGGGCTTCCACTTTCCACACCCCCATCCAGGCTAGCAGCTTCCCCTACCCTCTAGGCCTGGCGTGATGCTCTTCCGTAGCCCCACAGTTCTGCTGCCATAAAGCCTACAGAGATGTGCCTCCCAGACTCAGGGGAAGGAGCAGAACTGAGAAATCAGCCCCATCTCCCTGCAGGGACAGGACAAAGCACAGCTCCAGCCCACCACCCCTGTACTGAGAAGGGAGATCTCCATCTTCTCCACCCCAGAGACTTCCTTATCCACCCCACAAGTTACAGAAGGATCTTAATTCCCCCTCTGCTCCAGGCTCAGGGCGCAGACAGCTCTGGCCCCTCAGCTTTGTGTTCAGAGCACAAATGGCCTGAGCCTGGGCAGAGGAACCAGCTGTGCCAGGACACAGCAGCTGAGGCCACCCAGGAAAGCAATGAAGAAATATGCCCAGGGCTGGGGAACAATTGCTGACACATCTCAGGAAAGCCAGGTCTATCACAGCAGGGTGTCAAGCTGAACATCATCAAGGACATCCCAGCTTTACCTTCCAATATAGGACACGGGTGATCTTCAAAGACAGTTTTCTGCAAGGGCTCAGTTGGTGGAGAGCCCAGTCAGTCCTTGCCTTTCAGTGACCGGCAAGACTGACAGAGTTTCTGAGAGACA